GGCTGAACACGGCGCAGCTTGACGCTCTTCTGTGGATCATACCACCATGGGAGAGAGGGGAGCGCGAGTCCTCCGTTCACGGTGCACGCGCCGTCATTAATGCGTTCGCGAGAGCGTTTCACAGTAACAGACCCCTCATATAAATCTGCGGTTTCCTAATGTAAGGATCGGGAGCCAACAGTGGGTCGTAAAACACCAAGAGGAGGGTCTTACAAAATCTCTAACTCCGTTTGCAAATGTATGGAAGAGGATTAGGGCCACTGAAAAAAGAGAGAATTCTGACTTTAACCTTAAAACTCTGACTTTAATCATTCTGAGAATGAAGCTTGCTTGACAGCTTTGCTTGCTTTTAGCACCCCCTTGTGTCTACAGGAGCGGTTCATCACTAAATCAAACATGCAGGAAATGTGCTGGAAAGCAGACTGAAGGCACAGGCGTGACAGCTAGTTTATTTTTATTCCAAAAGATGGCGACACCCACCATACTGAAGTTGCAAATGCGGTTTTCTGGCCACAGAGGGTGGTAGGGTTCTGAGTGACAGTTCATTAACCCTGTAAAGGGTCATTTTAGCACATACTGGCTCAAGAAAAATGATTTAATTATATAAAAAGTTACATAGTATGGCTCTAAAATATGAATACTAAGAAAAAAGTCAATATTCTCTTTTTAATTTTTTTCTTTTCAGTGGCCTCTGGACTAGGAATTTTTCACCAGAGGTAAAATAGAACAACTAATGTTGAAACCGATGCCTCGGGGAACCAGTGCGCCTCCCAGTGGCAGGCTGCAGTATAATCTAGCCTACACAAATCAATGGGACTTTTTGACTAAAATAAATTAAACACACCTCAGATGATCTCGCCAAAGGATACTCCTTTAGCTACTCTTTTTTTTTATCTAGAGAAGTAGGAGGGACTTTTAGCTCAACTATCCTCTCCAAAAAATTTAGCATTGAAGCCCCTGTGGGACGTTTTAGATCCACTTTCCAACAGCAGAAAGATGAGATACGGCATTCATCTAATTGATGTCAGTGCTTTAGTTGTCCGGTCATTCAGCTATTGACCTCCAGTATCACCATGGCATGCACTTAAAATATCAAAAGGAGTCAGATGAAGTGGCTTGGGCATCTGGTCAGGACGACTCCTGGACGCCTCCCTGGTGAGGATTTCCTGACATGTCTGTTACGTCCCCTCTGGCATCTAGGAGTGGTGAGGGAGAACACAGAGAAAATAAAACAATGAAAAAGTAAAAGGGAATTAATCACCGATGGATGGTGACCGTTTGTGATGGTATGTAAGTGAATGGAAGGAGGTTAACGGAATGGTTGTTTAAAAAAGGTTTATTTACAAAAAGTTGGATAAAAGGGATTTAATAAGTAAACTAAATAAACTCCCTCTGCTAAACAAAAGCACTCTCTCTGGTGTTAACCAGAGAGAGGAGACCAAAAAGAGAAAACACACCAATATACACTAAACCAACCACTAATGAAACAAAAGGATAAACCTAAACCTAAACCATTTCCAAAACCAAAACGGCCCACAATTTCCAAAACAGAAACTAGCAATCTCCTTAACTGGAAATCCTCCAAAACAAAACACAGAGCCAAGCTAAACTGAGGATTAGGAGATTAACAATAACTGGAGGCAAAAAGGCACAATTTATCTAGATCAAAACTCTGGGGCACTAACAGCAAACCAAAAACCCTGAGGAATGGAGAACACAGTGTGGTACTAGAAACAGAGTCTGAGGCCTGGTCCACACGTAGACGGGTTTCTTTTAAAAACGAATATCCGCCCCTCCAAAAACTTGCATCCACACCACCTCGTTTAAAAAAATAACTGTCCACATGTACCTGGATAAATACGTTGTTAAGGACATGCCAGACCTGTAGGTGGCAGTACTTGGAGAAGCCAGGTGCCGGGCAATAGCCGTTCTTAACCTCGTCCTTCGTCTGTGGTCTTCCGCAAGGAGCAGTAATTCCGCTTGCAAAAACAAACAAGCAAAAAGCGCTTGGACAATTGATAAAGCGAGCGCAGCTCTGAGGGCATCCATGCTGTCGGCTAGTGTAAACACAGGTCGCACACGTGATGTCAGCATTTTTTGTCGCGGAAAGTGACGTTGCGGACCTTAAAACTCCGGTTTTGTCTGTCCACACGCAGACACCCAAAACGGAGAAAACGCAGATCTTCACTTTGGCCGGAGTTTTTAAAAAGATCCGTTTTTGTGTGAAAAACTCCATTTTCGTGTGGATGACAGGCCAAAACGTAGAAAAATATCTACATTTTGGCAGATCCCCGGCTACGTGTGGACAGGGCCTAAGAGATCAGTTTTAACACCAGGACTCCTCTGTAGCTGCGTCTCTCCCAAAATAATGGAGATGGGAGGCTTAATGAACAGCTGATGGCTGATTGAGTGCAGCTGCTCCACAACACTCTCTGCTGGCCTCTGGTGGTGTGCGGCTGGGTTGCAGGACTTGGGGCCTGCAGCAAGAGATCACCAGGAGAGCAGAGAGCAGAACCTCTGGGTTCGTCACAATGTCCAATAAGGAGGAGACTTAAAAGAAGACCCAGGACACGCAGGAGGGACTATGTGTCTCTGCTGGCCAGGGAACGCCTCGGGATTCCCCCAGAGCTGGCCCAAGTGGCTGGGAGAGGCATGTCTGAGCCTCTCTGCTTAGGCTACTGCCCCCGCGACCCAACCCCAAATAAGCGGATGAACATGGATGGATAGATGGATGACACTTAATTCAGCAGGGATCCTTTATGGTTTTGACTGGGGTAGCGTTTCTAATCTCAGCTGGATTTGTTAAATGATGAATGGCCTGTATTTGCATAGCGCCTTCTTAGGGTTCTACAACCCCCCCAAGGCACTTCACAACACAGTTGAGTGGATTGCTGCTGAATTGACTTGCTGCTCTGGGGTGTGAGGTTACCATTAGGGTTCCTGCACGTGTGTGTGGGGTAATGAGGATGTGGACGCTGCGGCCAAGGGTGCGCTGATGAGTGTGGTTGTTGGGATGGAAGTAAGTAAGTAAGTAAGTAAGTAAAAATTTATTTATATAGTGCCTTTCTCAGATATAAATCACAAAGCGCTGTACAACATGATAAAGATCAGGGCAAATACCTCTAACCAATAAAAACATCAGAAAAAACAATAGCAGTGATAAACGTAGAAAATAAAATCATGAGTATAAACAAAGTGAAGGTGTGAACCCAAACAAAGCCATCTTTTTGAAACATTTAGGGAGGGAACGCCTGGATGAAAAGGTGAGTTTTTAGATGATTTTTAAAGACCTCTACAGTGTTAGAGAGACGGAGATTTGAAGGCAGACTGTTCCAAAGTCTGGGTGCAATAGTCTGAAAGGCCCTGTCCCCTTTGGTTTTCAGTCTGGTTCGAGGAACAGCCAGGAGGTTTTCAGATGTGGATCTGAGGTTCCGAGAGGTGGTGTGTGGGGATAAAAGCTCAGATAGGTAGCTTGGAGCCTGGTTGTTAAGAGCTCTATAGGTCAGGACTAAAACTTTAAACTGTATTCTGTATTCTACCGGGAGCCAGTGGAGGGACTGTAAAACTGGGGTGATGTGAGCTTGTCTGCTGGATGTGGTTAGGAGTCTGGCTGCTGCATTTTGGATGGCTTGAAGGCGTGAGAGGGAGGTTTTGCTGAGACCAGTAAAAAGAGCGTTACAGTAGTCTAAGCGTGATGACACAAAGGCATGGATGATTTTTTCCAGATCTGCAGTAGAAACCAGTTTACGGACTTTTGAAATGTTTCTCAGTTGAAAGAAACAAGAGCGGGAGATGGTTTTGACATGAGTCTAAACTTAAAGCTGGATCAAAAATAACTCCTAGGTTTCTAATGTTGGCCTTGGCTGATGGGTAAAAAGAGGCAATTTCTTGCTCGAAATGGCGTTTAGTCCTCCAGCTTGTTCTTTTGAGATTGATCTGGTGGCTAGGGGATTGTGGCTGGGATAGTGGGAGCACAGGCAGGGCTCTTTATGGACTGCAGAGCCAGGTGGGTGCTCACAGGGTTCTGGTTTGATTGTGGGAGGAGGGATTTGGTGAACACCAGGCTGAGTTTGGGGCAGTGGTCTGCAGGGTTGGCTGTGTACAATTAGTTTGGGAAGCATCCAGATGGGAACTGTGAGAGTGGAGAGCTGGAAACGGTAACGCACATACATTGTCTGGCACTGAGTTACTTGGTGCAGTGGAGGAATTTATTTAGGGTCTGTGGGGGAAACAGCAGTCTACACACACAATTGAATCAGATGAACTGGTCTAAGATAAAGGTTCTGTTGGGTTTTTTGCATGACATTGGTGTGTATGACAGGTTGTGACTCTTGGCATGTGTTGTGCTGCCTTGACAGGTGTCCAGCCTGCCTTTCTAAAGAACAAAACTCACACTAAATGAAAGTGGATCTGAAATTACTAGAATTAATTTCAGATAATGCTTAAAAGCCAAATAACTCTTAAGGTGTTGAACACTACAAAACATTTTTTAAAATTATTTCTGATTATAATCGGTCACTCTAGTTTTTCATGTAGGTTCCTACACCTAACTTCTGCTTTAGCTTCTGTTTAAAAACAGACGGTGAAACTATAGGATTAGAAAAGCCCGACAGATCCACGTCACACTGTCACTGAGCATTCATGGGCTCGCGAAGGGGAAGGCCGTTGTTGGTTTAGCGTCCTGGAAACAGCAGAGAACGTCTCAACTAGCAGAAGCTAACAGTTAGCATTAGCAACACCACCACACAGCAGAACTCCTCCAGGCTCGAGGTAATTGTGGAGAGAAAATAAAAGTTGCAAATCAGTGGCAGAGTTGTGTTGCTGCTAGCCAATCAAGAGGAAAGATGTCCAAATATCAGGAAATATGACTCCAAATTCTGTCGTCTGAAGCTACTTTTCTCGCCCTGTTGACACAGGCGCTTTCTCACAGGGTTCTGGTTTGATTGTGGGAGGAGGGATTTGGTGAACACCAGGCTGAGAAAAAGATTTGCTACCTCATCTGGCTTAACGACAGATTTTATTTAGCAACAAAAGCTAGACACATGCAAAAAAGACACTTGTGTGGAAGACACCAGAAACAAAACAGGATGTTGTAGATGTACAATGTCTGCAAAAAAATAAACGAGGGGCTTTAACACAAACTCTTGATTCATTCAGACACCACAATCAATTCAAAAGCCGCTCCAGTCCACCTGGTGATAATAACCTCATGATAAATATATTTTTTTTCCTTTTTAAAACCAAGAATATGAAAGAAAAAAAAAAAAAAACTTGGAAACACTTACAATGAGAATCCAATCTTTCAAGTTTGGGCCAGCAATCATCTTCAGTTCAAAACAATCAAGATAATTAAATACCATTTTCTTTACATATAAACACAGCTGTGCTGTGAAAATGTGTTCACCTATAAACATATAAAAATACTTATCGGCTAGTTTGATAAGAAAATAATGTATAAAAGTAGAGTAGAAACATTGGATCAAGTCCATTGACCATGATCTGATTTTCTTGTTTATAATACAAGATGGCGAAATGCTAAAGAAACTGCAGTACTTCATTAGAAAGCCTGAACAGAAGTACCCGAGTGGAAAAGGGAAGAACTTTGTACGACGCACCTGAAGCGACGAGAACTCCTCAGGTCGTGTCCCGATCTCAAGGCTTCTGTAGCGGGACTGAAATTTGAGTTGCGCATTTATTCAGAGGACATGAAATGAATATTTTCAGCAGCAACATGATGGATATCAGATCTGAACAGAGCAGTTCAGTGGAATGATCTAAACTTAAAAAAAAAGTGTCTTGATTTGCAACAAAAGTTAACGGTTTGTCAGAAGTTTAGTACAGAGCGAACAGAGTCCAGTGTTTCCACGTGAAATCAGGTATTAAAGCTACACAATGTGCTACTCGTCATTTCTGTCTCCACTGCTTCGAGGACTTTAGGAAAGAAATAATAAAAGACGTCCACCTTCCTTGAGAAGAAAATTTGCTACTTTCAGTACTCGGAGGAAATGGAATACAATCATTCATTATATAAGACTTAAAAAAAATTCAACAGTCCATACATGGCTATTGAAAAAGGCTAAACCCACAAAAAATCCACTGCAGAATGCCAGAAACGTGCCAGTATTTCATTAAAAGATATCTAGGAATCTTACTTATGTACATATTAAGTTTCTTTTATGTAAAACCCAACTCAACCTCACACACTGCACGTTGGGGATTTAATAGGTCATTAGAAATACACTTTGTAAATCACAACAAATGTCACATATGTACAGTAGCAGATTAGCACATGGGAGTAAAAGAGGGATTATGGCACGACGCACACAAAGCTTCATAAGATAATCTCTCTCTGCTCGGTTCAGACACCAGAAACGTCAAAGTAATCAACATTCTGGATACATAGGTTCCATTCAATCTCGGTAGCAAGTACAAATGTCACTAAAACGCAAGAGGAGTCCTTCAGAGTACAAAACATGAATTTGTCTGGCTGCTTTAGAAGGCAATGTTTTAGTGTTGGTACTCTTATGGAGTGAATTGGATTGCAACTGAAGGTAGAGTGGTGATAACATTTTGGCATTGTCAGTTGTCCATAGCGATGTCCTGGAAACAGCATTTCCTGGTCTGAGGATCTCAGAGAAGGCTGTCTGAAGTCATGCACATAGAGAAGGCAGCGGTCAGTCATCCACGTGGGATGTGAAGTCAGGCAGAGTGGGTGGGGGTGGCAGAGTAGCTGCATGAGTTACAGTGATAAGGCAAAAAATAATAATCAGACGATCACACAATGGCAGCCACTCTTGTCTTTCTCTTTTCTCGTAGGCTCTGGTGACGGTGGACATTCTTGTTCTTGGAATTTCCTACAAACAAAAAGGAAACTAAATTTTAGAGCAAGCTGGATGGAAAATGTAAGAGTTTGCTTATTTAAAGACCAAGTTCACTCCTTTTTCTCTAGTATAAATGACCTCTCTGTCAGGAAAAAGCTCTCATGCTCCTGTTTAAGGAAGCAGACGTTAGTCGGTCCAGAAGACAGCAGGATTTGAGTCTTATTTCCTGATATTCAGACATCTCGCCTCTGATTGGATAACAGCAACGTGACTCTACCCCTGACTTTGTTTTATCTCCATAATTAACACAAGCCTGGAGGAGTTCTGCCATGTGGTGGAGTTGCTAATGCTAACAGTTAGCTTCTACCAGTCGAGAAGATCTCTGCGATTTCCTGGGGCCTCATTCATCAAACGTTCGTAGAAATATTCCTAAATCGATTCCTATGAACGAAATTTAGAATGTTTGTACAAACGGTCAAAATCCTGATTTAAGAAACATGCGGCACCCTCTCGTACGCACATTCCTCCGCACTGGTCTGATGATAAATCCCACCTGTGCGTACCTAGGTGTTCGTGTCAGTTTTCAGTCATTCACATACAGAAACACCCTCAATTGACCATATTTGGTCACACTACGCCCTCAGCACTTGAGGGGATTCCCTGTGTTCTACCCGGAAAAAAATAAAAACTTACGAGATTGAGAGGCTGGCTGTCAAAGTGCAGAGCACTCTAGCGAGCACGGTCTGACAAATCCTTAACAATATTATAGATACGTTATTTTATTTTATGCATCTCAAGGACAAAAATATAATAAAATTTAATAAAAAAAGAATATTACCTAAAAAGATTAAAAACATAATAAAAATGGAAAGGGAAAAATTGCGATTACAAAAAACACGACAACCATTCCACAACGTCAGATCCCTGTTGGGTGTTGTTGCACCAACTATGTGACTCAGCTGTTTTTCCACCGAAGTATTTATTTACTGGGTAAAATAATTTGTGGATGAGGAACATGTGTGAAAAACTGAGACCTTTGGTGTTGCCTTTCCCCCGTTCTACTACTAGATGCTGTTCCTATTAGGGGTCCAGCCTCAATATATCAAGATTAAAAAATGTACAACTTTATAATTATTTATCATAATTATTGAAGTGCAGTTGATTGTTGACACTGGATAGGCCATTGTGTTTATTCTTTTGGAGAGACATGGTCTATTTTTTTAATCTTTTTTATTTTTTATTTAGTGGTTCTGGTTGTGGACTTTCCAATGTTAAATAAAGATTTAATTGTTGCATATTAATGAGTGTACTTGCATTATTATGATATATTAACATTACATAAGTGTTTATTTTGGTCTGGATAATGTCGACAATAATATTGTTTATTGTCAAAAATTTGTTGGACAATATATCGTCCAGCAAAATTTGTCATCGTCCCAGGCCTAGTTTCTATGCATGGTCTGAAGTTTTCTTATGTTTAGGAAAATTTTTACGCACAGGCACAAAATGATGAATAACAATCAATGCGTAAACTAGTTCTTACTCCTGATTTACACACAGATCTGTTCTTAAGTACGGTTGATAAATGAGGCCCCTGGCCTTCCCCGTCACAAGTCAAGACGGTTGAGTCCATGAATGCAAATCTTTCAGTATGACTGGCTTTTCTAGTCCAAGAGTTTTACTGTCTATTTTCTATCGGCAGCTTATGCAGGAAATAGAAGTTTAGCCTGCATTTGAAGCTCAGAGTGACGGATAATTAGATATGAGGAAATGTATCGAGATGTGGACATAAATAATTGTTTGAATGCAAACTATAGTGATCCTGTTTCTCTTTATAGTTAGTTTATTATTCTGCTTCCGTACATTTTTTGGCATTTAACTACTTCCACAATTCTTCAACTATTTACAAAATTTTGGTATCAAAACGTTCAGCTGGTTCAGCTTATGCCGGCAATGACTTTTGGTATTAAAATATTTTATACTTTTTGAGATATTCAGCTTTTTCTGCGATTTTTGGTCCCATTGAAATGAATGGGATTGCTCAATTTTCAGCTAAATCCTATCATGTTTTTGAACTCTTACTCTTATAGGTTAACTTTAACCTAGAGACTTCATTCAAGTTTCAACACACTCACAAGACTTTCAGCTATTACTGGTAAAAAAAATGTTTTTGATATCTATTACAGTTTTTCTAAAATCACAGTTAGAAGTTGAGGTACAGCTTGAGATTGTCAGAAAAAAAAATCACAAAAATTATAATGGGCAGAGATAGGAGCAATGACCCTCCTTTGCTCCATTTCTGGCATTGTCCTGAGAAAACCTTAACTCATCCACTGCCAGCCGTTTCCTGATCACTAACGGCCTTCGCTGCCAGTGTTTCTCACCGTTTTTACTGTTTTTTAAAGAGTCACAGAACGTTTCGCACTAGCATGATGTCGATGCCAAAACAACCAAAACAAAGAGGAGACTCACTTCTTACATCAGGAAGAAGCCGCGCGTTTCGAGCGTTATCCGTTCTTTCAGAATCCGTTGTCGAATTGTGATCGGCAGACGCTTTTCCGGTTCGCGCCTCACTTTTTTTTACAGGAACGGCCCAAAACGATCTCCAAACACATGGATGTGTTGCTTCCTGATCATGTGATCTGTGACGTATGCGGATGAAGATCGGCTTCAGGGTTGAAATGTTTGTTCTCTCAGCGCGGGGGCTCGTTCCGATGCTCAAACAGTAAAAAAATGCAAATGATGATTTTAGTCGTCATTGGCAGTGAACGGTTGGATCTAAAATGACGACTTTAGTCGTCAATGGCAGTGAATGATTTAAGTCCGATTGAAATGAGACGCATGCTGGCTTGCAGCTAACGGATATACCTTCGTTTTGAGCTATAACTCATGAATGTACTCCAAACATTGTGGTCGTACGGTTCATTTCTTTGACAATATTCAAAATTTAAAAAATGTCTCTCACCACTCTAAACTGAAAATTCCACACTCTAACTTTTGACCTTCACGTTTTCTGGAAACAACTCTTTCCAACACCCAGACCGTTTGGAGTACAGAAACAAATCATATCTCAAAAAGTAGGAATTTTTGTCAGATTTTCAGAATGGGTTTCATTTTGTTCTTAAGGGTTACATTTCTTTCTCTACAAACCTTAGAAGAGGACAGACCCTGATTCTGTCTCATTGAAACCCATGCTCCCGCATTCCGTGTCGTAACTCTCTCTACAGCTCTGACAGAACCCTGCCTTCCTCTCCCAATGATTGGACAGGAATTCAAGAAACGTGATTGGTAGCTAAGACTCGTGCTCTCATTGGTTTCACCCAAGTTCCTCCCACTGACTCTAGAATCGAGACAAAAAGATCTGTAACACTGTAGATTTGAGGTTTGTACCTGTAGAATGAAATGTGTGTTTTGAGAGTTTTGATTGCAAACTTGTACCTTGATTTTTTCAATTTGGAAGTCTGCTAGTTACAAAACGAAAGTTTCATGTTTCTGAATGAATGTTTGATGTTACAAAATGAGTAGTAAATGTACAAAATAAAAGTTTGATTTTACAAAATAAAAAATACATGTACAAAATACAATGTTCCTGTTACAAAACAATACAAGTACGAATTGAGAATTAAAAGAAAACTAAAGTTACGAATCCAAAGTTACATGTGATGAAACATGATCGAAGTTACAAAACTTGGTACAAGTTACGCTGAATATTGTCCCAATCCTAGCTCCATACATAAGCTGCTAATTTCACAGTTCAGCTAAATGTAAAGATTAAACTGTTAAATTTGTCCAACTGAAATAACAGGTGTTTAGACATTTTAGCTGTCCAGATTTTTATACAATGTTCACAGATTTCAATTTTCTGCTATTTAGGATAACTTTTCTCCATTCTTCACTTACTTTTTGTGCTTTATTTGCTTGTTGGTGATTTTTCCTTCTACACCTTTCAACACATTCAGCTCATTTTGACAGTTTTGCTTACTTTCAGCTTCAGTTCAGCTATTAAGCTGATTCAGCTAACAGTTTAAGCTATCCAGCATTCAAACAGCATTCCTGCAAGAAATGCAGTTTATCTAGTTATGAATCGTTGTGGAAGAATATCATAATCGATTATAATGTCAAGCAGTTTATTTTATTTTAACGCGGCCCTGGTGTGGCAACCATTAGATCAACCCAGTGATTCCCCTGCAAATTTTCCAGGCGTGATGTGTGTGTGTGTGTGTGTGTGTACATTCGCGGACTGCTTCCATGTTGGCCCAAAACCACCGACTGGACCATACGGTTGTCTCACTAGACCACAGAGTCCTCCGCACATTGATATCAGAGAAGGAGAAACAGCCGGCTGCTACCACTTCATCTTTAGGGCAAACTGCCAGAGTCCCAAAACGAAAAACACCATTTGAAGTCACGGACAACAAAAGACGTGTGTATACAGTTTTCTGATATCAATACGATTATTTCCAATTCGTCCTAAAAAGTAAAAAAAGAAAAACACGGCAAAAAGTATTTCCTAGCAACAGTTGCTACTGTTGTGAGTCCCCCAGGTTACTTCTTATCTCTTTATTTTGGTCGTCACATTAACAGAAAACATATTGTTTGTGTTTTTTACTGATTTCTGAGAAGGATCAACAACAGTAACGGTTTGATCATTGGTAATGGGAAGGACGTACCTGATTACTCTAACCAGCTCGTGGAAAGCTTGGTCTACGTTCATTCGGATTTTGGCTGAAGCCTCCATATACGTGACCTTTAACTGTCTGGCCAGCTGCTGGCCCTCTTCCTGGGTTACCTGTGCCAAAAAAAATAAACAGAAAAACACTGACACCAAACACAAATGCACGGGACAACCCAAACACCATCCTCTGACAGTGTTTATGTTTATATTTGAGTAATTCTTGTCTTAACTTATGAATGAGGTAAAAAAAAAAAAAGAATACCACGATCATTCAGCAAACTTGACTCGTCTCCCAGGAACAGTTTAACCAACTTTACCCATTGAGTTTCACCTTTGTCGTTTTAATAATTAAACTCGGTTCCATCTTTAGAGAAGCACCCTATGGTGCTTTCCTCCTTACTTTTCTTTATTTAAACAGAACATGTTCATAAAGCCAAACCAGATCTCAAGCAGTCTCATTAGCATGTAGAGGACATCTGGGACTCTGCAAAAAATTTGCATTCAGACTCGTGATTTAAAAATGTGCGTGAGATATGAGGCAGAATGCAGAAAGATGGGCTGAGCGTGCATGTTAGCAATGTCAGTCACTATATCGGCTGCTATTGTTGAGTTGCCGTTTGGATGTTTACAGACTTTCATGTACAATTTGGTCACCGTCATTCTAATGGCGATACCTATACCTACACCTGAAGGTGAGACAATTTAGAAAAGGGGAATTTTATGTGATGCAAAATGCTTAAACGGATTCATAGAAAGTTAACTGTGCCTTCAAGAGATATTTATTTTAACCAGTAGGGGGCGATGTGGCATCACATGAAAAAGACAGGTGATTGAATCCCAACAGTTAAAAGTCTTCATTTCATCATGCTCCTTCTTCCCCATCAATCCTCCCCTTCTGACACCCCAGTTCCTGCAGACTCTCTCATTTGTCTGTTCACATCCTGTCGTATCTTAGAAACCAGCTGCAGCTGCAACACGCTCACTGTAAAGCACACAACTGTGAATCCCTTCAGACCCGCTCAAATCTCCTTGGATGATAAAAACGACACTTGCGTTTGTCAGTCAGAGGGTTTCGGATCAATGCAAACTTACTTGTCTCTGTAGATCCAGATCTGCTTTGTTTCCTACGAGGATCATGGGAAATTCGTCTCGGTCTTTGACCCGAAGAATCTGTCTTTGGAATTTGTAGATTTCTTCAAAGCTGTGAAATCAGACGAGGTGGTGTTACGTGGATGTCTACAGAGCAGACTCACCCCAAATGATACAGACAAACAACACAAAAATCAGGGTAATCACCTGCATGAGGCTAAAGAAACCTAGATCAAATTAAATGTTTCCCCGCTATAACACAGCTGGCGTGTTATACAACGTATAACAGTCAACTAGACAGGAAATGAAAATGTCAGTCTGCGCGGGAGGGGGGGGGGGGGGGGGACGACGCACGCAACACAAACCCTGGATAGCATTCCAGCCGTGGTAAGCATATAGTAAATCGGGTAAGGCTTGACTAATGTATATGGAGGAAGGAAAAACTGTTTAAAACAAACATTTGTATGTGTGTGTGTGTGTGTGTGTGTGTGTGTGTGTGTGTGTGTGTGTGTGTGTTCTTCTACATACTGCATACTGAGGACCATTTTGACCATTTTCCCTATGTGAGGACATTTTTTGGGTCCTCACTTTTTTTAGAAGCGTACCAGAAGCTTACTATACCAGTTAGAGGTATAGTGTGAATTAAGTTTTAGTTAAGATTAAGGTTAGTAATAGATCAGCATTAGTTATGGTTAGGTTGGGGTATGGGTTAGGCATGGTGAAATCACAAAATTGAATGGAAGTCATCGGAGGGTCCTCACTATAATAGAAAGACAGACGTGTGTGTGTGTGTGTGTGTGTGTGTTTGCATATGTCTTAATGTTTTTAAACTGTTATGGGAATTTGGGGTCATTTTGTAAAGCACTTTTGTTTGAAAGGCGCTTTATAAATAAAATCTGATTGACTGATGAAGGATGGGCAAAACTCTAAATAAAAGAATATATCTAAAACCAGATTTAAGGCCCGAATGCATCCTGGATGAGTCAAACAGATGGTAAATTTCTAAAAAAATAAAAATAAAAATAAAAAATAACTCTAAACTATATATTTTACTGGTTTAGATGCCAACCCTTTTTTTTGCGCTACTCAGTGCCTGCCTCCTGTGTGGAAAACAAACAGTGTGGGTATGCAGCCGCCTCAGTGTGTTCTCGCTTCATTAATGCCGCCTGAGCGGACACAGTGGTGGCGTAAACACACACACACACACACACACACACACACACACACACACACACACACACACACACACACACACACACACACACACACACACACACACACTGGTGCATTTGCTGCATGTGCAACAACAAAGCAGCAGGTGAAAGAAGTTATGCTTTCATTTAAAAAACCACTTGCTGTTGCCGTGGCAACCACAGGTGCTGCCAGATTGACCAACTGCAAAAGCGGTGGAGTTGCAACAGCGACTCCTTTTTGGGTTTTAAAGAAACTTAGGTTTGAAAGCCCGTTAAGGGATAATCAGTAGCATCTGGGGTCTCTGAGGTTAAAGCGCTGCTTGTGCCTGATTGTGTTGTCACTATATACATACATTCATGTCGTTACTGCATACACGCTAAAGTGAAAATGTGCACCACGTGAATGCTTGTCACTTGCTCGCATCGAGTGTTTGTCCTCGCGCTGCAGCTTAAGCAACACACAGGCTTTAAATAGAACGCTAAGGTAGGTGGATAGGTGGATTAACGCAAGCAGGGTTACACAGGAAGTGCTGAGAACAAAGCAAACGACAACAAGAACAAAAAAAAAGGCCGGAAGCGTAAGCAGCAACAGGTTATGGGTGTCCACGCAAGGTTTACGAAGAGGAGAATGAGAAAGCAATCGTGAGCAGCAAACGGAGCCGCGCAAAGAAAGAGAAGCCTATGAGTGAGAGAGTGTGTGTGTGTATGTGTGTGTGTGTGTGCATGATGAAAACTGTCACTTACCTTCCTCTGTCAGTGACTGAGAAGACGAGCAGGAAGCCCTCCCCTGTCCTCATGTATTGTTCTCTCATGGCTCCAAACTCTTCCTGTCCAGCCGTGTCGAGGACTACACCACATCAGCACATGCAACCCCACACACACACACACACACACACACACACACACACACACACACACACACACACACACACACACACACACACACACACACACACACACACTGAGTAACTTGCATCAAAATAAACATTTTAAATCCTCACCAGATGCGGAAGTACGTGCACTGCTTGTGTTTGTACTTACTGTCGAGCCTGGCCGGCCTTTCGTTGATCACACACTGCTTGGTATAGGAGTCTTCGATGGTGGGGTCATAGTCTGTGACGAAGTAGGACTGCATGAGAGACACGACAAGACAAAAAAAAAACAGAAGGGCGTTTGAATATTTCAAGTCAAATTATTAGTTTTTCCAATAACTGGCTGCAAAAGAAGAAGAAGAGCCACTCTCTAGCTCCGAACTGCTGATACCAATTCTGGATAACTCGCAATTTTCTCAAAGAGCTACACTTGTTAGAATGAATCTTATTTTTCTAAAAAGACCCCCACCCAATCCAGATTTTTTAGCTCACTGGCTGAACTAATCATGCTGAATATTAGCAGATTTCCTTCATCAGCCAAATCTTTTCAAGCAAGAGTGCGATTTTCTGATACCAAAGCCCGCTTCTTTGCACTCAACCTTATAAGTCTTTTCTGCACGAGCGGAGCTCTGCGGTACACGCTCTATAAACCACCACCACCAGGGGTTTTATATACTGCGCCAGAGGAAGTAACTCTTCTCACTTCCTCAAAGGAAACCAAATTCCTCAATAAACTGAGACACACCAGCCATAAAAATATCAGCCTTTGCTTGTATGGCAGCAGGTTACTAACTGGTTACAAATTAAAAGCACCTCATTTGTTCAATGGCCTAACGACGCACTGTGCTATTCTCAGCATAACACAAAGAAAGTTATGCCAACTTTGAAGAAAACAGTGGATTTAACAGGAAAACATGCAGAATCCCAGTTTGTTCGTGGTGCATCTGGAGTCGTTTCATCATCCACAGCCATGAACAGATCTTTGCACACAGCGCCATCCACCAAAATCTATATACAGCTGTCTACTCTTAGCACGCTTTTATTTTGTAATTCCAACTAATGCTGCAGCATAAATGTCTGAGTCAGAACTGAGAATAAACAGACACTCCGTCCTCGTGTTTGGGGTTAAAACAGCACAGACAGCCTCACTGACCTCCAGTGTTGGGAGTAACGCGGTACAAAAGTAATTAATTACTGTAATGCATTGCTTTTTGCTGTAATGTGGTGATGGAAGGCATTACAGGGAAAGAAAATGGTAACATTTACTCAGTACAATTGTCAGTAACGCGGTAATTACAATGCATTTTTAAACCCAGAATCAAGATGTGGGTTTCCTAACAATTCAAATTGCGGGAAGCCTGAAAAAAGATCCACATATATGACATCATTTATGGACTCAGCTTTGCGGGCATTCTATGAGCAGAAAGGACGCAGCGGTGATGTCTCAAATACTCCAGCTGCATCCTGCTCGCGGCCGCTGTTATACTCACAAAATCACTCCACCAAAACTAAGTCATTTGTTTGCGATTGTTTATATCAGCCCATATTCTCTGGTACTTCATGTACTTTTCAGCTGAGTTCATAATCTGTGCCCTGGTGATTTCAACTCATCGCTGCGGGAGTGCAGCGCATATTTACCCTTTGATGCATAATGGTCACTACAGTGGACAGGTACTCAAAATTGTTACTTATTTATTTTGCTATTAAGCACAGCTGTTGAAGACTTTATTGCATTTGAGCTCCTCCATTTGGACTTCAGTTTGTCAAGCCAACATATTTACATGTTCAGAATGCACGCTGTCCTCTGAGGTGGACATGTAATAAATTATTAGTAAATTATTAAATGTTACAAAAAATGTTTGTTGAAATTTATTTCATTCACATGGTTGAAGATTTCATAATTCATGCATCAAAGGGTTAAGCATTTTTTATTTTTTGCATTTGGTAGATCCCTTTGGCTGATTACTTAGAAAGTAGGAAATCTAGGAAACAGTTTTTCTGGAAGACGAGAAAACATGCAGCATGCAGGAAGGTTAGAGAGAGAAAGGGCAGCAAATTATTCAAATAAAATCAAGAAAACAAAACAAAAGTGCTTGAAAAGAAAAAAGTAGGTAGATTTATCCCCTATACACATTTTTTACCAGTGAAAAGTAATAATATATAAACATTTAATATTTATATGTGATAGAATCAGATCACTCCAGAAGTCAGTCCCACATCCAGGGCCGTATCAAAGCATTTGGGGACCAAGGCAAATATAGGCTTGGAGCCCCCACCACCTCACTCCCTGCTCAGTTAATATAAGATGGCAGCATGCTGAGAGTACAGATTGTTGTTGCTTTTATTTAATAAACAATCATTTTAAAGCACTGTTATTATATCTGACTGTTTATAACAGCAACCCTAGCTCAGACACCACATCACCTTCTACATATATGTCATGAGCTCACTGAGCGTCACATTACCAGATTCATATGGAAGTTGTTTTGGTGAAAGTAACTTAAAGTAATGCAAAAGTAGTGTAATGCCTTACATTTTAAAATGAGTAATATTGTAATGTAATGAATTACTTTAAAATGAGGGCAACAAGTAATAAATAATGCATTACAGTGTTGAAGTAACTTGCCCAACACTGTTGACCTCTACCTTCACTGTCTCTCAGCAGACAGAAGGCAAACAAGAACAGCACACCTGCACAGAAAGCGCGAGGCAAACATTCTTCCATCCCTGCTTTTTACACAGGCCGGCCTTTTTCTGCTCACTTTCACCTAGATGCTTCTCCCGTTTAAAAGCAGGCATGCACATTTTTGATTGTTTCATTCCAGGGAAAGTATCTGCTCTCATAGTAACCCTGACTGGAAGGGTGGGGCCGGGCTGCCGGGACAAGGAGGAGTCGTGCATTTTTTACATTTTTCCCATGTTTTGTTGTTCTTGCGCCCCTCGGGGACTTATTAGGTGGTGACAGCTGAGGGGAGTGCTCGGGGAATGTCAAACCAACACCCTAAGACACGGAGAGGTCACCAGAAGATAAAATCCAGACTCTTTTTTTTCAGTTGCTCAAACAATAGAACCAAATGAAAGTTTTACAGCTGCGTTCATGTTTTACAACAGAGAGAAAGGACTACATGAATCAAAGATCGTACTGTATATTTTAACAGCAAAAAGGCAGTTTTTCATAGTTTTAATCAAAGATTGGAATGACATTTTTGCTCAACAGACAAAAACTACAGTTAACACAATTTCTAGGTATTTAACTGATCACTCTGAAACTCTGGAAGTTGTTCAAAGTAGGAGAGAAAAAGCCCTGAGATGCTCAAATACGCTTCTATTTTATAGTTTGTGAGAACGCCTGAGCTTTACACAGCTGTTGCTGTTGCATCATGTTGCTCATTCTCACGAAAATCCATCTGGAAGCTTTACAGGAACAGGAAGTGCTACAGATAAGACATGTCTGCAGGTTATTTACCCTGTAAATGACCACAGACGTTCATGTAAACATCCATGTAATGTGATATTCATAGTAGCCTTAGAAAACCATGTTTGTGTAAACTGAAAATGTGTCTGATAAGCACCATTTTAAAATGGTAGTAATCCACGTTGTAAGTGGCTTTTGTGTGACTAGCCATTAGCTTGTCAATCGAATCAGAACAAATCTCTTTAAAGAAATAAATGTTTTTAAAAGTGCTTTTGGATACAAATGCAAATATGTCAAGATGTTACAACAGCGGCAACAATTCTAATAATTTTGCCACTCGTTTAAAAGGTCCGATGAACTCTAGAGAACAGGAATTTTAGCTCATCCTTGTGTAAAGTACAGCTTCAGATCGGAGATCCTGATGGGTTTCCTCAGATTGATCATCTTCCACTGTCCTTTTGAAGATTAGCTTATTAATTTAATTCATTAAAAGGGACGATGCATATTAACAAACATATAAATAATAAATATGCCAGAATTAGCCTGTAGGCTACTTTTCATCAGTAGTTCCAGACAAAATCAACCAAAAAATTAAAAATAAATAAATAAACAGCATTATATTGAATATAATTTCCCATAATACACCAAAAATGAAATTTAAGTGACAATTCATAAGACATGTGAGAAGAAGCAACACTGTGAAACACAAATATCGACATACAAAACCAACCTATATATCTTTTGTACGTTCTTGCTGTGTTTGTCTCCTAATTCTAAAGAAAAACCTTATCCGTGTTTAAAAAAGAACCAAAAATGGCAACCTATATACCAGCCTAACAGATCGGATTCCCCTTGAGCAGTCTTTTCAGACTGGCCTTGAAAAAAATTTATGTTAGACATTCCCATATTGCCACCGGGATGGTATTCCAGACTTAAGCACCTTGGATCGATACGTGCTGACTGAAGGTGGTACGTCTGAATACACAATCTCCTCTACTGGAGGCTTTTGTTACCCTACCAGTAACATTGGATTTAAGTAAAATATAAATCAGCCAGAGGAGATGGGGCAAGTCCAATTAGGACCTTATAAACTGTACATGCTAATATAAACAGCAGCAAAATAAGTTAAAACCATGAAACTGCCACCACCATGTTTTACAGAAAAGTCTTTACTTGTTCTTTGTGAAATATGATCCATCACTCTAGAGTTTAACATGCAGTCTTCTACCCCTATTTCCTGTATGACTGTATGTCATGTCAGGGACATGGGTTGTAATATCATCCAAATTAGTGGAACCCTTGTGCGGTTTGATTTGGTTCCTGTGGACTCACTTATAGATGGGATCTTTGTATGGACCTGACCATTTCGGCAAAAGTTTCTTAGTCAGTTTACCAAAGGTTGCTTTTGTGTGACCGGAATTAGGAGCAAAGATGTAGAACCAGGCCTCATCACCTACGCTGAGGTCAGAATGTGAGGCCTTCTGATCATAATAAGCCTTCCTGCCCTCAACTGATTTCTCCAGATTTGTCTGTGCAAAAGAAAAAGCTGCAGGCAGATGGTTCTTCAGGTCCTGCAAATACTGCTCGCTAGTGTAAGCCGGAGCGGCACTGGGCTGAACTGACTGATACAGCAGGTGAAGCGGCAGGGCCATCATCATTTCATCAGTGCACGCCATTGTGGGGTCAATTTTAACACAAATCTTTAGTGTGGACAGGCGGTTGTTAGTAAGATAAGACAGGCCAGTTCCTTACCTGTTTTTAAGTCACTCTTGAAAACTCACCTCTTTACCCTGGCTTTTGATACCTTGTGAGATGTTGGTTTCTATTTTTTATTTTATTTTA